CGAAACTGGGATTCTTTTTGGAAATATTAAATTCTTCATCCGTCAATGCCTTTTTAAGAGATCTAACAGTCTGATATGGATAATATTTCGTCGTGATCTTAGGAGCCATATGAATGTCCTTAAAATCATACACAAAAGGTACCTGCAAAAACAAATTTAACACTCATTATCAAACTCGTCAAACTCGTCAAACTCGTCAAACTCGTCAAACTCGTCAAACTCGTCAAACTCGTCAAACTCGTCAAACTCGTCAAACTCGTCAAACTCGTCAAACTCGTCAAACTCGTCAAACTCCGACTTGTTTGACGAGTTTGAACATTTTTGAGACTCGAATAGTTTGACTTGTTTGACGGGTGCGCTAAGTTTAACTAACATCTAGCATGACCATTAATCTATGTTTTAGTGCATCCGACTGTCGACAATATCATCGTGACCCGATTTCTATCCGTCTTTTTCACAAAACACTGTTTCTCACCCAATCCGAAAATCCTATTTCGATATTTCAGTGACAATTTGTCATTCAACCCATAGTTTTTCAAATTTTTATTTCAAACCCTATTCTTAACGAAAACTTAATAGAAAATCTAAAACCGAATCTCAATGTATACCCGAAACCCTAAAAAATTTGATTTTTGCGGAGTTAAAAAACTATACCTGGAGGTCTTCGCAAGTAGGGTCCGAAGATGATGAAGACGGAGCTATTCTTCGTGCAAATTTGACGAGTTTGACGAACTCGTACAGAAAAATCACAGAGTGAAGAGAAAATGAAGAAGAAGAAACGACACTATGAAAAAATGAAAGTGTCTGTCGAAAAGGGGCCAAAAAAACTGTTTGGTTTTTCAAATTTTTTTAATTTAGTAACTTCCCAACTTTTGGTCTTTCTCCTTCAGATGTTGACACGTGTATTTTTTAAAAGGGGTAACGATGTCTTTTCATTCTTTTACAGTTTTTGTTTGAAGGTTTTTTTTTTGAAGGGTATGTCATGTAAGTGAAATCGATATTTAAAGGTATTTTTGTAATATTCTCCGTTGAATGTTGTTAGGCTTTCGGATTTTTTCAATCTTAGGCCCAAGGCCCATGATAAAGGGGCCCACTTTTTCCCAACCTAATTGAATAATGTAGAATTGAATTGATCTTTGATATATCTGATTCTTTCAAACGTTGATGTTCTAAACTTTTTAAGGATTAATAATTTTGAGTTTCGATTTTATTTTAAAATTTGATTTTTTAAAAAAATTTATTGAATCAATTCAATTTCCACCCGAACTCAATTTTTTTATTGATAAAAAAACTTTATTTTAAAAAATCTAATTATTTTTATTATGTTTACATTCAAAGCTAAGTATTAAATTTTTATACCAAATTCGATTATTACTTTTTATATCATATTTCAAATAGCAATAGCTAGACATAAGTGGAAAGGAAACCTATAAAGAGAACCCAAAAAAAAAAGTTACATACCAAACACATCAAATGACTCCTCACGTACGTTTTCTTCTTCTCCCCTCCCCAAAAGATCTAGAAAATCAGTAGTGGTCTAAAATGTGTTACTTCCCCTCCTCCTACTATCTCCATCCAAAATCACATTACATTCTTCATATATAGATAGATAGATAGATACACACACACTTATATATATATATATATATATAATTCATTTCTTAAAAATGCATCCTTTTTTCATGCTCCCTTTCTCTCTTTTTTTTTTTTACCTTCTTCATATTACTCTTCTTCTTTCTTCTCCTCCTCTCTGTTTATGGGAAGTAAGTTTTTTAGTCAATAGTCATAGGTTGGCTCATGCAACATCTGAAGCGAGCTTTCCTCACGGTCGTCATAATCTCGGTTTCGGCCGCTTCCAGCATTTTAACGATCTCAGCAAACGACGGGCGAACCTCAGGATTGGAATCCCAGCAGCGGCTCATAATGTCGCTCAGAACCGGGAGGCAGTCGCTCGGGATGGTCGGGCGTACACCCCTGTTCACCACCGCAAACGCAGCCTGCACTGCCGTCATGTTCTGGAATGGGAGCAGACCCGTTATCAGCTCCCACAGCACGATCCCGAAGCTATACACATCCACTTTCTGGGTATACGGCCTGTGCTGGATCATTTCCCTGCAGGTGGTGATGGCAACAAATAGTAAGAGTCGATCAGGCTGGGCAAAACAAATACCCGACTTTCGGGTACCCGATAATTATATGAGATGAGACCGGGTTTGGTCATGAAGAAAACCCAAAATCGAATTCGAGTTTGGTTACTTAGATCCGAGATATGTATTACCGTGGGTACCCAAATGAAGAGTAAAACTACTTTTTTTTGCCTAGGTTATAAATAAATTACAACCTACCTTGGGTTCTAAACTAAAATTTCTCGAAATTTCGGGTTTAGATTCGGATCATCTAAAATGAAAAGAAAAAAATGAAAAAATTTTGTATTTATATCTCAGGTTCGACTATTTGCAGATACCCAAAACTTATCTTGGGTATCGATCTCTGGGTATCCGGACCAAAATAAATCCGAGATCGGGTAATATCTTGTGAAACCCGAGATGCTCAAGTTCAATTAACACGAAAATCTCGCATCCACCCCATTGCCGCTAATAGAGAGCATTTCAAAAGGATGGCAAAAGATAATATGGTTCACATATATCATAGATCGCAACAGACAGAAAACATGGTGGGGATAATCAAGTAAAAAGACTAGAGTTCCATTTGACTTACGGGGCCATCCATCGGTAAGTCCCAGTCTCTGGTGTCATCCCTTCGGTCTGGACCTCGATTCGTGCAACGCCAAAATCTGCAATCTTGATGGATTTATCAGCTGCTATCAAAAGGTTATCCGATTTCAAATCCCGATGGATAAAGTTACGCTCGTGCACATATGCCATTCCCCTTGCAACATCCAATGCCTGCTTAACTGCCAGTTTCAACGGCACAGCTCGGTTCTGTCTCTTCGTCAGGAACTGCCTAACCGAACCTCCCTTTGCATACTCAGTTATGATGCACCACACCATTGGCTTACGACAAGCTCCGATGAATCTCACGATGTTCAGGTGTTTCAAATTTGCAAGCATTGATACCTCCTGCTGAAACTGCTGTTCCATGGCCTGTGCCTTTTCTGGGCTATTCTCCGGCCTCTCGAGGATCTTAATCGCGACATCTTCCCCATTGTATGTCCCTTTATACAACTTACCGAAAGCCCCTTGAGCAAACGCAGGACCCATATGAAGTTTCCTCAAATCGGCAGTCCATTCTTCATAGTTCTCAAGCCCCTCGGTTGGATACCGGCTGTCCATCAAAGCTTGTGCTAAGGCGTCGTCATTGAGTGCATGGGTAACTTTTCCTGGACGAAACACGCTTTGCCCAACAGACAAGGAGTACACATGGCGCATGGGCTTCAGACCCGGGTGACCAATCAGAGAATCGCTGGAACCGACACTACTGTTATCAACAGACATCGAAACAGATCCTCCGGCATTGCTTGTCTGTAGACTGTCGATGGACATGTTTGTACCCTCGCCAAGCTTCTGATAAAACTCTTGAGTGAAGGCATAGTAATTGTTGTCGTTGTTGTGATGCACATTGAACTTCGGACCCTCGAGCATCTTTCCGAACCCGTGTTACGTGGTAAGAAGCCCGACCAAACTGCAAAACCACATATGAATCCCTTTTTAATCAGAAGACAAAACCTCGTTAACATGTGCAATCACTTGAACATGCTCCTAAAACAAACAGAAAACAGAAACGAGGCGACATAAAATGAAAGTTAGTTGTATGTATTTTCACATCTAGTATGCACCCGAAGATCTTCCCATTCATAGGAGCTTTCACAACCTCAAAGTTCTTTTCTTTCAGCTTCAAGCCCGAGAAGACGAACATAGTACATTGCTTTACTGCAGAGAAAAATACTTACCTCTGAACAAGAGCAAGAACCTGGGAGATAAAAAAAATGGCAGAGTTTTGCTTCCGGAGGTCTTGAGTCGCGTTGAAGGTTGTGTTGTTCTACACCATCTATGCTCTAAACTGAAAGACATTAGCAGAAACAATGAAATCCCAGATTCTCCAGTAGATAACTGAAGTCAGATCCTTGAGAGCAGCTTCATAGTTGTAACAGCAGAAAACAAGTACTCGAACTAAACAAGGTGGAATCTTGACAATCAAATTCGAATATTTTCGGCAGGAATTTGCAGAAACCAAAAAAACCCCAATTTTAGAACGGCGAAGTCCTAAGAAATAACTCTCTCTCGCTGATGAAGCTACAGACCTAGATAAATCCTCTAGAAACTTTCGTTTCCACAAAATGATTGAAGCAAACTCTTAACAACTGAAGCAAACACCATGAAAACTAAAGCATACAGGCACACACACACACAGAGAGATCCGCCGATTCCAGGACACGATAAGCTAACATCGAGAAATTAGGGTTTACCTAAGCTTCCGAGTACCAAAAACAGCCGTTATGCGCGGCAATCACATGAAGCTAACTCCAAACCCTTGCTTTCGACATCCAGACGAAGAAATAAAAAACTCCGATTGAAAACTCCCAAACCCTAGGTAATCGAACCTCAAATCCAAACGCTTACCTCCAATCGATTTCCTACCCAGAAACCTGAGGAGGAGAAGAAGGAGAAGAAGGAGTTTCCCCTTTACTTTCCCAGCAATCGATTTTCCTTCTTTTTATTTTTATTTTTATATTTATGTTTTTATTTTCGCTATTTATTTATTATTTAATTTCCCCCGTCCTTTATTAATTTTGCTGGCAAAATTCCTTTCTTGTTGTTTAATTAGGACAGCTTTTAAGCCACTCTCTCAATGAGAGAGTGCACACCACGCGCTCTACAGACACGACACGTGACAGATAACTCATCGATCTCCATATGCGAGACTGGTTGTCGTGAGAGGCGGCGCGTCTCCGCTTTAAAGCTGCGGCAATAGTCACGCTTTGTCTTTTTGTAAGATTATTATCATAATAATAATGATTTTTTGCCTAATCATAAATTTGCATTGTTTTTATCAATTCGAGCTCATGATATTTGTCCATTTTTAAAAGAAATTCAAATAATTTATTTGGTGTATTTTTTATATTATCTTCTAAAAACATTGATGGTATTCACTATTCCTTCCATTTTCGAAGATTTTTTCTCTTGTTTAATATTTCTACTAAATATTTTTATGAAATTGAATATTTTTAATTAAGGATGGAATTGGAATTTTTAAAAAAAAATTACATAAAAACTAAAACAATATCTATTAAATAACAAAAAAATCATCTGCAATTGTATTATTAAAAAAATGGATGGAGTGTCAATTATCCTTAAAGTTAATGTACCCATAATTGAGCTTTATGGATCCTTCGTATGTATGTATGTATAGACTTGTGACTCGACTTGTGAGAGAGATAATGTTGAAATTGACTATTATTTGCCACTTTGTGACCATCAAAAACTCGATTTATATTATATTCTTTTTTTAAAAATTATGGACAATCCATCGCTACAGTCCTTCGAATCGGATCCCGACCGATCCCGCGGATCAGACGGTATTTCGGATAATAAATCTTCTGGCATGTGCAATAGCCATCAAACCATGTGGAACAGATAAATCAGCCGAAATTGATCGATTTAGGAAAAGGTCAGACCTCAAGAGTAATCGAACGATTTATATTATATTCTCTTTATCCAAACTAATTTTTAAAAAAATTTACTAACAAATATGGCAAAAGTAATAGTCAAGAATGGTTTAATATAAAAATGAGAGAGAAAATATATTCATTCTGCTATGGTCATCATTAAAAAAATTTCCTTAAGTTTAGAGACTTTCAATTGATACATTTTTGGCACGATTTTATCCAAATTGTTTAAGAATTACAATTTTTTATTAATACCCGGTATTTTTATTTAGTTGTATAAAAATTAGATATTAGACAAGAAATAAATAATCATGGCTAACAAACAAAAGATGAAAAAAAATCATGGGATGTAGTGGGGAAAAGATCCTCATGATGATTGTCCAAAAGATCATCCATTTTGTTGTCCGCATTTCAGCAGTCAGTTTTGCACATGCAAACCATATCATTTTCACGTCCATTTCAAACATACATACATATATATATATATATATGCATGCACACATCTATATTCAATTATATGCTTTTAAAGGAAGGCAACCATAATACACTGTTATATTATAGATACGGATAATTAAAAACGTGAGTGTCAAACCTCTCCTTACATAGAATTATAGAGATCATCACAATATCGTAAATATATATGTTGGGATTATTTTAATAATCATATGGATCAATATTCTAATTAATTGAGATATGTATTATACACTATTTTATTTAATGTATTATGTGCTATTTTATTTAAGTCATATTTGTGATCTAATTAAGAACTAAAGGATCTAGTTGTTATTTCAGTAAAATGTGGGGTTAATGTGCAAATACCGTTATATTATTTTCATTTCTTTTGTGGTCAGAATTGAAAGTAATAATAAATTTATTTTCTACAAATTAAGGGTTATGATCTCTAGGCCACATGTCAGTTTTCAGAATTCATTGTGAGAATTTTTTTCTACTTGATGTGCTGATCTAGAAGATCACAAATCTCGATTACTGCTCAGACGCTATCGAATTCATTGTTAAAATGGACTCAGATACGACTCTATTATATTTTATTCTTACATGCCACATGTTAGATTCATGATTTACTTTCTGTATATTCAGAAATACGATATTGTTAAAATTAACAATTGGTATCAAAGCCTAACACATATATTCGTATGAATGATTTTTTTATATTGAATTATTTGCATATTTTTATTTGTTAGTGTTAATAATTTGTAACGTTAAAAAAAAGAATAGAGGAGAATTTGGCATGTTTTTCTGGTATAATAGCATGTTTTTTATATACATGTATACTGTTAAATATAATCATACACGATATCGTGTATATATATACATTGATGATGCTACATATGTATATATGTATGTTTGTGCGTGAAATAAGGTTTGGTATATATATATATACCGTATATATTGGTTTATATATATATATATATATTTGAAAGAATTGGTTTTCTACATATTTAGATCTATGAGACAAATGAATAAGAATATTATGTCTTGTCATGAGGTGATTGTCACGATCATATATAGTGTCTGTGTTCCTCTTTACAGAAATAAAAAGAAATAAATATTCAAATGAATAGTAATATCTATTTTATTTTGAATATTTGTTTTTTTTGCTAAATTAAAGGATTTGGAAATCTGTCAATTCGTTTCACTTTTAAAAAACGGAAATTTAACATTTGGTTATGGGTATAAATCTAGAATTAATTATATGAGCTTGATATTTATGTTCTAGATAATTCAGTTTCAAAAGATTTAGAAACGTATTCTCTGTTTTGATTTAATTTCATTAATGAGATTATATATCAAATATATTAGTTTCCGTTTTGATTTCCATTACAGATTTTAGTCAATTGGACTTGATCCATTAATTTTCTTTATTATATATGTGGATACATATAATATATATAAAAGAATATGTTTTGAGCTTTCCAATATAAAAGTTTCCGTACAGATTTTGATGCAATTGGGTTAGACCCATTATTTCTTTGCTTTTGTTATTATATATGTATATGAATAAAGAAATTGGGCTTTAGTCCATTACTTCAAAAAAAAAGCTATATATGTATATGATGGAAATTGGGCTTAGAAGCCTATTACGGACATAGGGTTTGACAACCCATTATGGCTGCAAGTACACGCGAACGTGTGCGATGAATATCCCACCAAAGACATTTGAGTAGAGTTTGATCGTGACAAATAAGAATGAATAATGACAAATTATTCAATTAATATCCTATTCGGTTAATTTGAGGCACCACCTTGCCAAAGTAAACTCTGATATCAAAATTAATTCATTCGGAGAATATTATGAGGAATTTTTGTTTTATGCGTGAATTTCATGCGAAAAATTTACCGGCCCAAAGGAAAAGAATTTTTTGGTAAAGATTCATTAAATTTATTTAGTAATAAATCATAATATCATAAGGATGACATATGATTATTGAATCGACCCAAAGGAAGATTCAATAGATTATATGAGATATTCATTATTTGATTACTATGTCGAATATGCCACTTACAAGTTGATTTTCGATTCAAAGATAGAACTTCAATGTTGTATGGTGTAGTGTTGTCGTTATTTGCATGAATTATTGATTTTTATTTCCTTTCTTTTCATTCAGCTATTGCTACTGCAACAAACATTTCAGCTTCGCTGAATTCGATCTCGATGCTAACGGAAAAAAAAAAATTTAAGGCATGGAAAGAGAACTTCATGATATTTCTCGGTTGTATGGATCTGGATTTGGCCATGCGTATTGATGCTCCTGCTGATCTTACACCGAAAAGTGCCGAGGATCAGAAAAAGGAACATGAACGCTGGGAGCATTCTAATCACATGTGCCTTATGATCATGAAGCGTACAATTCTAAAGGTTTTCCGAGGTTCCATCTATGATGATGAGAACGTTAGTAAGTTCATGAAAGCAGTAGCGACTCGTTTTGAAAGAAATAAGAAGCAGGAAACAAGTTCGCTTTTAATGAAACTTATTTCCAAAAGGTATAATAAGGGAAATAGGAACATTCGGGAATACATGATGGAGATGTTTGATCTTCCTTCACAGCTCAAGACACTTAAGATAGATTTGTATGATGACTTACTAGTGCACTTGATATTGTTGTCTCTTCCTACATAGTATGGATCCTTTAGGATTATATACAGCTGTCAACAAGCCAAATGGTCTCTTAACGAGCTCATTTCGCATTGTGTGCAAGAAAAAGGGCTATTGAAGCTTGAGAAACCCGAAAGTGTTCATCTTGCGGTCTCTAGAAAGGACAAGAATAAGAAACGTTCTCAGAAAAAGGATGATGGTCCTATCAAGAAGATGCAAAAAAAGCAGGATAAGAGTGGTGCATGTTTCTTTTGTAAGAATATGGGAGACATAAAGTGTTGGGTTTTCCTGGGATCTCAAGAGCGAATCTAATTCCTAAGAGATCAGTTTTAGGGTTTGCGCAGCGGATGAAAAACAAAAATTTTGATGAAACCCTAAAACCTATCATGCATGATTTTGTAGAAACGTTAGAACGCTTACCTCAATCGATCCGGGGCCTGTATCAATTGATCTGTTCGTCCGATCACTGTAGGCAGGAAGAATACCTTGCCCTCTACACGTATCCACACGGCGGAAATGATTCCAACGGTTGGAACTTGTCATGCTAGGACTGAAGAACGCTTTCTTCTTTGCGCAAAGATTTCAGGGATCTTTCTCTTAGCTTTCTCACTCTCCAAACCTCTCCCTAGGGTCTGAAATTCATGCCAAAAGAGTTTGGTGGCGTTTTCCTAAGTATACCCACATTAAAACCCTAATTAGAGCGAGTTTAGTAAATCCCGACGTCTAGACCGATCAGTCTGAAGCTTTTTAACGTCTGGATCGATCGGTCCATGTCTGGACCGATCGGTCTGGAACAATTTCCGGACCTCACACGTTACCTCTGGACCGACCGGTCTACGTCTAGATCGATCGTCTGGGTTAGCTGGACCGATCGGTCCAGACCTTCTGGACCGGTCGGTCTGGCCTCCGCTCCACCGGGAAT